AAATTTAAATAAAAAAGTCTGTCAGTTGGAACATAGTATAACCATACATAGATTTGGCTAGAACCGAATGTATGCATCCCTACTGTAGATGCAAATATATATTTTTGTGATTCAGGATTGAAAACAATTTTTTCAGTAGATCACTAGCAATCTATGTGGCAATGAATACTAGTTCTAAGAATCCCTAAAATAGGGTTTCTATCCACAAAAAGTGGTAAGTAAAAGTCAATCGTACGTAAGTCTGTATAGTAAAGTAAAGAGGGAGCGATTCTGCATAAATTATGCAGCACACTACTGCCTCGTTCTTTAAAATGGCTATGTAATTATCAAATTATTCCATATAGAGACACCAAACTCCTATAGAAACAAATCTATAGAATCCAAAGTTGTCCGAATTCGATGTCATGGACAGTGGACCGTGGACGTTGTACGCTCAATGGTCATGGTACTTGTGCGCACGCGCAAAATTTGAACGAGTAAAAGACTAAAGACTGGGTAATTCGATTCTGATTTTTGGCAACTCATTCCATGCGGGTAAAATCAATAGGTTTAAAGGTTTTTAATTTCGAGTGAAATTAAGGTGGCTTTTTTAGAAATCAGGGGCCGGTTGTTCGAAAGGTGGATAAGTCGCTATCCAACGGATAAGTCGCTATCCAACGGATAAGTTTTATCCAGCGTGTGATTTGCGTTGCACGAAGCTTGGATAACTTTATCCAGCGGATAAAAATCGCTATCTACCGGATAAATTTATCCAAGGTCCGGAGGTGGTTTAAATCCACTATCCAGTGGATAAATTCAAAGATACAAGGTAACACTGTAAACATTTACACAAAATAGGACAAAAATGTCATATTCCTGTTACTGTGTTTCAACAAACGAATACACATCACAGGGGTGGATCCAGCACTAGTGCACTAATTTGCATTACAAAACAAAATGACTATTTTGAGCAGTTTTCTTGTGTCATGCAAATGAGTGCACTAGTGCTGGATCCACCCATGCATCATGATTGTATTCACTATTAGAAATGTTTTCGAAGTGCAATTTGTCGCAGCAGCGTTTCACGTTGCCTACACATTCCGTTCCGAGCGGCGATTTTTTGGAGATCCTCACATTTATAACAGGCGGTAAATATATATAATGACTATACGCTTTTAATCAGTTTATAAACGCGAATATCCAAAGAAAGATTCAACCTATTCCAAGGAAACTTGCTAATATCTAAGTAATTTCATTCACGAACATTAAAATAGTGTTCCTAAATTTGCTATGGAACCGAAAGGCAAAGCGTTGCAAGGTCAAGGAATAAAATTGCAATGTGTTTAATTAATAAAATCACTATGATGTGAAGTGCAAAGTTCGAGCAAATCACTTGTTCAAGTCTTTTCCATTCAGTAACTATACTCGAGAATTCGTAATGATTATGAATTCAATGTTGTAAATGCTTAGCAACAGCTGACGTTGTGGTACGAAATTTCAGGATAATCCTGTTTACTTCCGGCAAATTTTAACTTATCTATTGGATAGCTATCCACTTCACTATCCACGCTTCGTGCAACGCATTTTTATCCAATGGATAACTATCCACTGGATAGCAGATTTATCCGTTGGATAGGACTTATCCGTTGGATAAGTTATCCATCTTTCGAACAACCGGCCCCAGGTGTCTTGTAGTTCGATGGTCTTAATTTTTGTATTTTATTGTTTTCTGAAGCAGATTTGGAAACTTTTATAAATTATTTTTACGTATTTTCTTCCAAATTTTGTTATTTTTTGAGGCATATATTCCGTTGCTATGGCAACACACGCGTACAGAATTAAGCGTAAAATGAACTATTTTTTCGTATAGCTCCCGAAAAAGCATAGTGACCCCAATTTTGTTGTTGTTGCATACTTTTGCCGATAAAACAAATTATCGATACGCGAAATACTGATAAAATGTTGGCAGGCAGCATTGTAAGAAATTCGTTTATTTGAAATGCAGAGCTGGGACAAACACACTACAAAGACAAATTTTTGATCATTTTATTAATCGTCATTTAAAAAAAAAACTAGTCAATTATTTAAGTAATACGATGGAAATTAAAAGTAGAATCTAAAAACTATATCCAGCCTTCCGTGCCTACCGAGCTCTAAGTACACTTAAAATTCAAGCCAAGAAGAGTTGATGGAAAAATGAGTCAATTATCGCCCCCCCCCGGTAGGACTCGAACCTACGCTTTTGTGATGCCGGTGCAATACTCTTGCCACTGAGCTTTAATATAAATGCTCCTGAGGTCAGAACAAATCTTCCACCTCTTTAGCAGGAAATATAGACGGAACCAATTATAAGGCTCGCTGCTCGCACGGCAAAGTTGCAAAAACTAGTTCCGAGTAGAGGAACCAAAACAAAGAACGCTTGGCGAAATTTTCTCTTCAACAAGGGACCGAAACGAGAATTAGTTGTTGGACAAAAAGCTTGTAACTCTGTAATTTTGAAAAATATAAAAATCTTTTCATGCCATATTGCAAGCCAAGTTCTATTATTTTTATGCGGAAACACGTTTTGTTTTTCACTAGAATGTAAATAATTATTATTTAACTATTTCGCTCTTCACACTATCAGTTGAAAATAGTTCCAGGCGCGTGAAAGCTCATGTCGGGGTGCCTCATGACGTGATGATTTCAGGTCAACGACCAGCATCTTAAGTCATTTCATTAATTAATAGAACTAACCTTCAAACCGCGTTAAGCATGGGTCAATCCTTTTTTTCCAAGAGGCCATATCCACCTTCCGTAATTTATTATCAACTACCCTGTAACACTCAGGTTCCTCTGCAAATACACCACCGTATAGACATTGTGCTACATAGACCACCACTACATAAGTCTCTGGTATAGATTTGCCACCGGCATCTACCACTTTCTCAAAAAAACTTCCCATCGTTCGTCCGGTTTTCCCTCTGCAGGCTTGCTCTCCGGTGGCCATACCATTTTCTTGACCTCCTTGCTTATTTTTTTATTTAAAATTCTCTTTTTCATCTCAGTTACATGCTCTCCCAAGACAATTCCTTTGTCAGTTATACCGTAGTAAATGTTGCCTCCCATGTAATTCGCAAATGCAGATATATAGTATGTCAGTTTGTTACTCTTCGAAACTAAGCGACTGGCAAAATCAGTTTTTTTCTTTGGAGAATGTGTGTCTTTTATATTCTTTAATTGCACTGTTTTAGATTCGGCAATGGAAACCGTAACATCTTTTACAAATTTCCTATAATGAGAGCCTGGTTTAATCGCATCTTCAGAACAGATGTTTTTCTTGAATAGTAACGTTTTCATTTTCTCATTTTCTTCGGACGGCAAAACTTCCATGACGAGTTCGTTACTTGGCAAATAGATGTGGTTTCTTATTGTGAAAAGGACTCTTGTTTTAGTAAATGTTTTAACATTAATTTTGATCTGGTCTTGTAGTGTTGAAATTTTTAGATCGATATCCTGCGACAGCGTGACTGTTCCTAAGACGTCTTGAAGTTTCTGTTCAAGCATCCTCACGAACGTTTTCATATCAACGTGCTCGTCTTTTTTATTTGAATTAGGTTGATCGTGACACAGCAAAAGGACTCCTCCATCAGTATTGTACAAGGCAACTGCTGCTTTGATAATTAATAAAGATTTCCTTAATCATTTGACTATAAACTGTTTTGCGAAAAGATATTATTTCCTTATATACATGTTAAAAAGTTAAAAGACGACGTTTCGACGTTTACAGAGCGTCATTATCAATTCAATGAATTTTAAATTGTTTGAACACTAAAATTGAGACAATAGAGTGATTAATTAGAAACAAATGTCAACAATCCTATGCAATGATTATTCTGTCTGGTTTTGTCTACCGATGGCAGGTATACCGCCATATTTTAAAATCTGCGAATTGGTCGTAATGCAAATTCAATTTTCTACTAGAAGTACATGCATGCAGCAATCCCTCGCCTCGGTTAAACAAAATTAGATAATGATTGTTAGAAATCTTATGTGGTTTCGGGGTTTTGGAAGGTACATGGTATGTGAGAAATAGAAATTGAGAAAAGTATGGAAATATTTTTCTGCACGTGGAAAAACTGTAGTCATAGCAACTCGCAACGGCCGTATGTTTTTAAAAAATCAAAATTTACCCTCATATTTTTGTAAAAAAATGGCAAAAATACGACAAGATTTGTACCATTTTCTGGAACTTAAGTTACTCAGCTATAGTCAGTGTTATGGTAAATTATTTTAATTATTAAATACCATGAAATATAACATCGGACGTCTCATACAACGCTTCGACTGGTTTTTGTACGGGAATGTTTTGATTTTGTTTTCTTTTTTCATTATGAAAACGGAGTTTATAAATAAAAGTATAATGTCGTTTATCACATAACACATTCAGATTTATAGTGAAATACATTTGAGAATATTAAAACTGTGTTTGCCACAAAAGAATTACTTTTTAAAGCTGTGCCGGATGAAATATTATCAAGTGTAAAATCTTCCGACTTCATCATACACGGTGAATTCGGTCGAAAATTTGGTCTTGTTATTTGTTAAACCGTGAAAAGTCCTGACCTCATTCGAGTTTCCCTCTAATTTAGTAAAAATACATATAATTATTCCATATTTATAAAAATATGAAATTTGTAAATTTTATCATAGGCAGCCCAATGGCGACTCACATGTTCAGGCAATGTAGGCATTATATACTATATAGTATATACTATATAGTATATATATAAGTATATATATAAGTATATATATATATATATATATATATATATATATATATATATATATATATATATATATATAGCTTCAATTCACCACATCGCGGTGTTCAAAAATTAAACTTTTAATAGACTAAATCAAATGAAATACATCTTGTAATATATTACGTTTCGGGGCGCAGCCCCTTCGTCAGAAATGTTTCCTTACTAATCCTAAGCCTTCTTATATAGTTACAACAAATTTGCATACATAAATTAACCTTAAGTTTCCTCCCTCACATTTAATCCCATAGGACAATAAGTCATTAACTTTTCTATCCAAAAACTTTCCCTCTCATTAGGTTTATTGATATCAGTAACATCAATTATTTGAACACTTATGTCCTCTAATCCCTTATGTCCTTGTTCAAAAAAATGCGCATATAAACCCTGACCGCAAATACCTCTCTGACCCCTACCAAAACGTAACAATGAGCTTTTATGATTATTAAATCTCAACCTAAATGCCGTAACCGTATTCCCGACGTACTGTAGATGGCATGTCTTACAAGTTATCAAATAAATCACCCCTTCCGAATCACAATCAAAGGCATGATTTATGTGATAAACTTTACCCGTTGAAAAGCTACTAAATTTAGACCCCAAGATAATATAATTACACACTTGACAGCGCTTCTTACCACACTTAGACATGCTTCTATCCGAAGTTTCAATACTACGTAACTTAGACCTGACCAGATGATCTTTAAGGTTCCTCGGTCTACGAAAACTTAACAGTGGTTTTTCAGGTAAAACCTTAAAAAAATCCGATGACATCTCAACTATACCCTGCATTTCCTGCAAGGTACCCTTTAAACAATTAAGTGCCGGATGAAAATCCAGTACCAAACAAACCCTATTGTCTTGACCTTTACACTGATCAGACACAATCTGATGATCATAATTCCTAACCCTATTAAATTGTTTCTCAATAAAACCCCGATCATAGCCTCGCTCCATCAAGAAACCTCTTAGATCATCCAGTCTACCCTCCAAAATTTCCTCCGAACTACAAATTCGTTTAAGCCTAAGTCCCTGTCCATATGGTATCCCCCTCTTGACATGCGACGGATGACACGAACCATAATTCAAATACCGATGTGCATCAGTAGGCTTGCTAAACACATCAGTATCGAAACCATCATCGGTAAGAGTTACCGCCACATCCAAAAAGGAAATCTTTCTAAAACCTACTTCCCAGGTAAATTTGATGCTGTTATGAAATGTATTCAAACGGTGTAAGAATATATTTAAATCCTCTTCCGAATGAAGCCAAATCATAAAAACATCATCCAAAAATCGCCACCAAACCCAAGGTCTTAATTCACAAGAGCTGATAAACTTTTCCTCAAGATATCCCATAAAAACATTGGCCAACCCCGGAGCAAACTTCGTACCAATGGCTGTACCCAATTTCTGACGAAATACTTTCTCGTCAAACTCAAAATAATTATTCTCCAATATTATTTTGGCTAAAGCTATTAATCTATCTACGGGCAACTCTTCATTAGTATTTTGCATTGCTCGTCTCAACGAATCTAGACCCTCATCATGTGGGATATGTGGATATAATCCCACAACATCTATAGTACACAAAATAGCGGTAGACGGTATATGCCCCAAATTTTGTAATTTCTGCAAAAATTCCGAAGTATCCTTAATAACCGAAGGAACAAACTCCGCAACTAAAGGTTGAACATGGAAATCCAAAAATTCAGAGATACGCTCTGTAACTGTCCCACAATTTGAAATCACCGGTCTACCTGGCACATTTTCTAAATTCTTATGAATTTTAGGAAGAAGATAAAATCTACCCAAACGCGGTTTACTTACGTTTAGATATTTTTTATTCTCTACACTAATATATCCACTACCCACTAATGCGTCCAATTCCGCCGATACGAGCCTCGAAACCTTATCCAAAATATCAGATTCGTCAGATACAAGCTCATAGACATCCTTATCATTAAGTTGTCTATAGGCCTCCTTACAGTAATCCTCCCGTCGCCAAACTACTATAGCTCCCCCCTTATCTGCTTCTTTTATAACAATATCCCTCCTATTCTTTAAAGATCTTAACGCTTGCTGTTCTTTATCCGAAAGATTACTATAATTATGACCCCCCTCTTTTATGAGATCAGTCTTCTCTTCAAGCTTTTTAAAATACAATTCCACTGCCGGATCCTTAATATAAGGCATCCAAGTCGATTTCTCTCTGAATTGTCTAAAGCCTTGTTCCCGTTGCTCACTTGGACTCAAAAGAAAATAATATTTACACTTAGTTTTACGTTCAAATTCTTTAAAATCCCTTTTAATAGCAGATCTATCCAACTCCTTAGGTGTGGGACAAAACTTTAGACCTTTAGACAGAAGAGAAATCTCCCCCCCATTTAATTCTATATCAGAAAGATTTACTACATTTTTACTCACAAATTTATCTCTAACACCGTCTCTTCCTTGAACATGTCCATTTTTTATCTTATCAAATTCATTATCCTGATTAACTTCATTCGCCCCTACTGCGTCCTCTCCACGTTGTTCGTTGAATACCTGATCCGCTTAACTAATTCCTGCAAATTCTTAATGTTACGTCGCCCCATAAGTTTGGCAGGCCTCTTTGCATGTAGCACAACACTTTACCAGCATGAGGAACTGGCAATATGTGAAATAATTCTCAGACATCCAGAGCTATACCTTAGGGAAATCGCCGATCAATTAGAAAACGCTGACATTCGGTGATAAACGGGCTCTCAGATAAAATAAATGAAGGTATATTTTACTAATAACCTGTTGTCACATTGTTTACGCTTTGCCAGCTATGGATTTAACGAAGCGTTCGCAGCGTTTGCATGCGTAATTACGTGCGACACGTGATGAAAATGTGTGGTCACATGTCACAACTATTTGTATATATGTATATATTTTCGGACAACCTTTCCGAGATCCACTATATATTTATAAATATATATATATATATATATATATATATAATACATTATAATATATATATAATATATATATTAATATAATTATATATATGTATATATATATATATATATATATATATATATAAAGTATATATAAAGAATATATATAAAATATATATATATATTATATATATAATATATATATTATATATTATATATATATATATATATATAGCTCTATACATATAGAGCTCACTGGTAAGGTCTGGTGATTAACAACTTGCTGATTGGTTCAGACAAAATGTTTGTATTTCAATAAAAAACGGCAGCAAATTAATTGTCATTTTGTAATAACACAAAAACTGTAATGAACACAATATGGAATGTGGATCAAATAAATAAAATGATATAAAAGCTGGTCAAGGATTAAAATATTATCAGAACTAGGAAAGCTAAGCGGTTAAAGTTAAGCGGAGAACAACTCGTATTTTACAATCTTTGAAATGGTAGGTGCATGTCTACTTTGTTTATTTCATGTTTGTTGTAAGAATGCAGTTTATGAAAATATGTCATTTTGCGAAGACCTAATCGACTATTTAGGGCTTTACATTGTCGTTTTAACTTCAAAAAGAGTTCCTAAAAGCGTAATTCGGAGATTTGATAATTATAACAAATATCACTATCAAGCTTTTATGGAGTCGACTGCAATCACTGCATGATTTCAATAATCGAAAAACTACATTCGACGTTTAGGGTTTTGAGATTAAAATTATTCTTGCTGTTTTGAAGGTAAAAAATATTGTGGGCTTGTAGAACTGCCAAACGTACAGTACAAAGGCTCGAAGAATTATTTACATAAATTAGTAAAAGTACTGGAAGAAAGGCGTAAAAGAAAATTACCGTGACAAAAATCAACTTTTTTGTGGTATCTGTATGTCTTTCGTCGAGAATATTAATTTTCTCGTTAGAATCGTTAATTTCTTGATTTCAAACACACAACAACACTATTTCTCAATGGGTTGTGTGTGCGTGTAGTCCTCGCGAGACGTCGCGTTAGATAAATCTAATATAACAGTGTGATAAATTTAATGTCACATGCCTAGCTCGGAAATAGGGACTGGGATGCGAAAACACGAAAAATCTCCTAGTCACATGGTACAAATAATGTTTTTTGATTGGACAATTGAATTTGAAGTGTAATATAATGTTTTAATTTATTCATAAAATGTTTGAGCGTTGCTACCAAGGAAAAATTATTACACCAGGCGTTATATTTCGGGCTTCAAGTTTGACACACTATTCCAAAAGATGAAATTTCATTAAAACATTATTAATTTAATAGTATAAATACCACAAGGACAAGGTAACCTTACAATATAAAGTGATATTATATTTTTAGATCATTCACAAAATATCCGCAAACAATTGTTCTTATTAATCACACAATGAATATCTTTCATAATGCGTACCTTTCATACCTTTTTTAAATTACCTACATGTTTCATTAAAAATTCATTATTTAATTGTATTAAGATTGTGGTGGTGGAACCTCTTCAATGACAATGCGTGATACGGAGTTCCAACCAGAGTGGGCATCGGCATTCGAATAACCCCTGCAATTCCCGACCCGAAATCCAACGCGGACACTACCTTTTGGAATTTCATTGCAATAACCCTCGATATGGCGGTGGCGGAGAATATCCTGATTTGCCCCCGTACGCATATAAAAAACGCCATCAATAGCCATTGGTTTCTTGCATTCAGCTCCATTAAAGGTGAAATACCAACGTTTGCAGCAGCCATTACATCGGTAAATACGCAGATTCCCGCCATAGAACACTCTGAGGGAGGAGTTGTCGTGTTTTTTGTCGAGCACGCAATCCTTTACATAAAGATGAAAATTCATGAAATGAATACGCAAATGATTTTCAGTACTTTTAGTTGCAGCTAACAATTAACTCTAGCCTATATAATATGTTATTAATTTTCTTTGTTATGATATGCTTAAGAAAATGCTATAGTACAGCAGTTTTTCAACTTTCCCAAAATTCTATTATGAGGTACCAAGACACCATAGAATTGAAAACTGAGGCCCGAGCAAGAGAGCGTCTCGTAATATTCTTTCGCTATTCATTGCATGCATGCATGGCTATAGTTTATCGTAAATAATTTCATGCTATTCTCTCGAGAAACGTCGTCCAACGTAGAATTTGCCTAGCCTCATTTAAAAACGCTGCCAAACGTCGATATTTGTTTACATTTATGTGCAGTTGCATATTTTTCTTTTAAAAGACAGCTTTAATTTTACCTGTATTAATCGATCTTATAATCCTGCCTGCACGCTGCCACGCACATTGTTTCCAGTTTGAGTACAAAACGGTATTCGTGCCAGGTGGGCCTTTTTCTCCAGAAACACCTTTTTCTCCAGCAGATCCTGGCGAACCAACATCCCCTTTTTCACCAGTTCTGCCATCCTTCCCTGGTGAACCTGGAACACCTGGTACACCGGGAATTCCATTCGAACAGCCACAAGCGGATGAACACTTTTGCTACAGAGTAAAAATATGCAAAGTATTTGGGACTAAATAATTATGATAACTTATGATAAATGCATTATAATAAATTATAATAAATGCATTATTGCTTTTAATTGGAGACGAAAAGGTATTAAGCAAATGGGCGTGAAGGCATCTTTAGTATTAAAAACTACCTGTTTCACAGCAAATGTTAACCGAGAGAATAAAGCCAAGAAAATCCAAACAAGTCTCATATTATCACCTATAAATTGGTAGCAATTGATTAATTTATATAAATAGTTCAAGCTCAAGACTACATACGTATATCATATAGCTGTAGTCTACTTGTGCAATCGCCGTTGTATGATGCTGGAATACACAACGGCGAGTCACGGAGCATTTGTTTTTCCGTAAAACATCCACGTTTACAAAATCTATGCGTGGTAAGACAGTCGTAGACTGAGGCATGCTGGAAAAACACTTACTCGGCGTTACCAACTCTTCTGAATTAGAGATCTAAAAAAAACAATATAGCTCCTTACTTGTCTTCTAACTTTAAGATTCTGATGAAATATGTTTGGTAAGATTTGCCTTTATTTCATAAGTAAACCTTTTGTTATTCTAATATGCTCCGCATTCTTTATTTAATTAATAAAATAATAACTCCGACAAGCCATATATCGCCTAATCGTCTTATAATTGTTCCCTTCAGCAAGGAATTTAGTTTTCGCTTAATTTTCAGTCTAATTTACCTTCCTTTGGCAGCGATAAGGAATTTAGTTTCGCATAATCTTGTTCAACTTCCTGTTTCAGGCCAACTTCCTGTTTCCTGGATCAGACCATCCAAACACGGAAATTTAAAGTTTATGAAAGAATCTAAATTTAAACCCAGGCTTTGTCGTTGTTATTTTATAAAACATTTACTTCGGCTCGTGTTTCGCGAGCTTTTCTTAGCTCTTGCAACATTCCTGCGTGTTTGGATCAGGCCATTCAAACACGGAAACCATTAAGTAACTGTATAATACTCGACAACTGCAAAGAAAAAATAAACAGTCCCCTCATTTCCAAAACATTTTAAAGAGCTAAACTGCTAAAGTATAAGATTGCTTGATTTTTCAAAATATTTATGAGATTAGCATTATGAAATCGAGGTTGTTTTTGAGCGCTAGCTGATCCAATTTTTCCACTTATCATGAAGTGACACAATAAACAAATATACGACATGGATATACTTCTTATTAATATGTCGATTTGTTTAGAAATCCACTAATTCAAGGCTTAAAGGCTGTTCATATGACACAGAAAAAATTTTGAGCTGGTGTGAGGATTAAGTTCGAAGAGCGAGGCACTGCATGCCAAGTCCCAAGAGCACTAAGATGCTATTCAGTACATTTATAGATGCTGCTCATATTAGACGATTACAACTCTTGCATGAAATTGCATGCTTTTCTATTTAATTTCAAATTAAACAGTACCAATGCATAATGTTTGTTTAATGCAGTAAAATACGGATAAATAGCTCTTTCTGCCTGTAAGCATAGTATAAGCATGCAGTAGGAATATATAAAGCAGCTTCAAATTATTTAACAATTATGGCAGATTTAGACATCGTAAGGACAGATTAAATAATTGCTTCATGCAATTATCTCGTTTTCATGCATACTTTACGGTTATTAACGATTCGTTTACAATACATACAGTTAATTGTTTTCAGCTAATGGCAGAACTTGTTTACATACAGTGTGTATCAAAAGAATTCGAATCTAACTTTGACAGGCTGCTGTGTATAAATTACTAAAGTAAACGATATCATTTTTATATGGCAACATATATTAGCTTATTAAGTTCACGATTATACCGTTCTTATATCGACACGACCAAAACTGGCCGAGTTATCGTCTTTTAAAAATTGTTGCTCGAAATCAAATTTTTCCGCCGATGGGAATTCGAAATGAGACCTCCTTGTCGAACCAGTACTTTTTCATTTTTCAACTAAATTACACATACAACGTGTCATTTGAAATAGAA